TCCCCTCTTCTCTATTTACCGAGCTCTTCACTACAAAAAAATGCAGTTTTAGCAACTACTTTGGCTCTCTCTCGTTCATCACCTTATCTCTCTTCTCTATCTGTCTCTCTCTCTTTATCTCTCTTCTCTATCTGTCTCTCACTCATCTCTCTTTCACCACCCATCTCCTCTACCACATTCACTACTACTGCAAATGTCATTCCACTACCAGCATTATTACCATTGTTGCCACTCCACCTCCACGACTACCATTCCTACCACCATCGTTACCACTCCACTACCACTACCACAACTACTACTACTATTATCTCTCCTCTACTACTATGATTCAAACTTTGTGTTCCTTACACTTATTTATATCGTTCTCCACATGGGTGACCATATATAAATATGTATATTATTTTCTGATTTCATACTTTTTATATTTGATTTATAATATATTAATTTGTTAACATGAGTATTTTACAATTGTTGCTCATGGGTTGGAAATCTTCATTTACAACTTATAATGGAGCACATTTGAATCTGGAGATGCTGCTTTAACCCACCAAGCCACTCTACTTTTAAATAGATCACAAAGCACATTCATATCAGGTTGCGTACCCAAAAACACAATCTCATTCCTACCCTTCCAAATGGACCATAGAATAACCAGAGGTATGGCCTTCCAAATTTGTTGTTCTAATCTTTTAAAGCTAAAACCAGCCCACCACTGCAACACTCACGTTTATTAAGTTACAAGGTTTAGTAATGCATTATGATTAATGCTATGAATTGGATATCCTTATTTCTAAGGCGATGATCAAAAAATAGATGTCAACTATACTGAAAATCATGTCACGGTTTTTTAATAATACATTTCCTTACAAATTGCCCTTTCAAATGAAGTGCTACTATACACATCTCCAATTTGAATACAGTATTTTTCTACTCTCAATATGCCATTAAGTATTTATAGTTTGACTAACTAAAATAGTTTCAACGTGTTTGAGGCTTTGTCAGAAGCTCTAACTGCTTAAACATCCTTGAGATTTGGTCATCGGAAAATATTCATTGTGTTTGGTTTCACTTTTTTAAATTCAGTTTTTTGAAAATTGAATATTTTGTTTTTCGTGTTTTTTTTTATTGAATATTTTAAAAATTTTAAGTAAAATATTTTTTTACTTTTTTAGATGTATCATACTTAAATGTATCTAAAAAGTAAAATATTATAAAAAAATATTTTTTAAAATTAATAAATACACAAAATACGAAAATATACTGAATTTTAGTTTTTTTTTTTTTTTGTATTTTTGGTATATAGGGATTTTTTTTTTAAATTTTTTTACGAAAAGTTCTAGCTACAAAAAGTTTTAGTCGTACTATATGGGTTATTTGCCGGCAAATAACCAATTTAGTCGCTAAATTGCTCTAAAACTTTGCGGGGGGAAATTACTTTTCATTTTCGCGCCCTCTTCCATTCTCGTTTTAAACAAACACAAAAGTCCTCTCTCTCACACATCACCACCAAACCTCACCCCACCTCATCTCAGCACAGTCCCTCACCATCGTCGCTCACCGTACGTCGCACATCGCCACCGCCGCAGCCGCAAATCACCACCGCCACCGCCGCAGATCACAAGTTCTCTCTCCCTCTCTGTCTCGGTCGCGTTCTCTGTCTCGCTCTCTCTCTCTCTCTCTCTCTCTCTGTTTCTCTCTCTCTCCCTTCCTCTATTTCCCAACTATCAACACTTGCTATAGGGTTTTATATGACTTATACTAAATAATTTCGTGTTGATTTCTTAAACTGGTTTGATTTCTAGAGCTTTATGGGTTTGATCTCGTAAATAGGTTTGATTTCACTGGTAAAATTTACTTTCGCCCTCTTTTTCCTTTCTCATTAGTTTCAAAGCCCTAATCCATTGATTGCGTATGTATTTGCATGTATGGCTGCTCATTGATTGTGTATGTATTCTCATGTGTTCTGATTGTTTGAATTGAAATTTGATTCTATGATTGCAATAGTAAATAATTTATTGGCTTCCGTTTGATAATTATTTCTCAGATTTTGGGCAATACTCCTCATTTTGCTAGTTTTCAGGAGGCTTCTCAGTCTCACTCAATGGTTTTGCTACATTTGTTTTCTTAGATCTTCTGTAGCCTTGGATTTGGCGTTAGAGTAATAGTGTAATTCTCTGAGATATAAATCTGGTTTTGCTCAAGCTAATATCTTTATTTATTGACCTACTTAAGATCTATATGTTAAACATATCAGGAAGTCTAACTTATTATGTCCTCTTATTCACACTCTCCTTTTACAGAACCCTAGAAAATAATTTTGCATGTCCAGGGAGGTTTTACTTTTTAATTTAAAATTTCAAAATGGCAACAAAATTTTAATTTATGACTTTTGAAAATTATTCACTATCAATTGTTTCTCATGATTTGTGTGAAGTAATTTTATATGCACAAAAAGAAGAATATTGAAGTGAGATTATTGGTTAATCTTAGGGAGTGGCAATGCCACTATAGTTGTTGCTGCCTAATGGCCATGTCTGCAACTATAACATTATTTTCTACTAATATGGAAGAGATAAGCACTGCATGACATAGTCCATTTGTTTTGTTATGGCATAGAAGATGGGAAAAAACTAAAACAGAACAAACACATAAGTATACACAGATTTACGTGGTTTGACAATAATCATACATCCATGGAGAAAGAATGACGAAACAATTTCACTATGAATATAGAGATTACAATAAGCTGGCTCTCTCTCTCTCTCTCTCTTAAACCTTAGTTGACAAGATCATAATTCATCCTAAAAGTCCAAATTAACCCAATATATACTAGAATTTGAATGTAGCAAACTGGGTCAAAATAGACCCAAAAATACAAATTTCGGGTCAGACCTTTCATATTAATCAGGTCGAGCGTGCCACAAATGGATAGTAAACATCATCTGGATTGAATTCAAGATGCACCCACAGCATGTCTTTTATGAAATATGATATAGGAACAGAACTTTTGTAGAGAATGATGTGATTTCTTCTACTCTCTTCATTTTCAATCAAAACATCCATCATTGGCCCCCTAATTTCAAAAATGTCATTTACATATCATTTTGGATGTGATTAATGCTACAAATTTTATGTTTGCAAATTATTTTCTGTCATTTATTTATTATTTTTCTGCTAATCAAGCAGAAGTTACATTGGCATGCAATGTCAATTTTCAAGGACATGAATTTGATAGCCAATATCTTAATTCCTTGGTGCACTGTGAGATAATATGCAAACCAGGCACCGGTGCATATAATGCAAGAGGTTTCACAAATCTGGGTTGTTCTGCAACCAGAAATTGTTTAGGTTTCAAATTTATCATCTATTTAGTGAACATATGACACCACTAATACGTAACTTTAACAAGTATCTAAAACATATATGGGTTGACAAGGAGACAATTACCTCTAGCTTTTTGAAGGAAATAGATAAATTTAACACAATTGAAGCACGTGCCAAAATCATTCAAAAAATTGACAAGAATATCCAATATTCAATGAGCAAGTGTGAATTTTGAAGTGAAGTCAACTTCCAAAGGTGAAGGCACCTTAGAGGTTTTATAAATTTTTTAACAAGTGGAAATACAGAAGCCATACAATGAATCGATATTTGAACAAGCACTTTGCATATTATAAGGAACATTATGCTTTATAGTATAGTTTATATTTAAAAAGATTAACCAGGGGGGATGAACCAATTCAAGATGACTGCTAGAATGATTTACTTTTTAAATTGATCAACATTAGTGATTAGTATAATATGTAAGTGTGATATTAGTATAAGAAAATGTTGGAGTGAGAAAAGAGTTCAACTTCTAGCAATCCAATCTTCATTACAGCAGCCTTTTAAACTTAATTGATTTCAAAGTGACAAAATCAATCATCTGAAAAATTGAATAAATAGAGAAAAGCCAGCTATCGAAATTGAACATCTCTTTCTTCTGTCGAAATAATAACGATATAATGTTATAAAATAATCTGGCAAGATGATAAATGATATTTGGATCAATGAAATATATGAATAGGAAGTTTATAGTCATAAATAAAGATATGGCAAATAAATTAATTAGACTATTGTCTTAAAGAAAATAAAATAACAAGGAAAGTAGACATAAAAACATGGAGAAGAATCTTCAAATTAAAAACTATATATTTATTCTAGGTGCACTAGACTCTCACCACTACGGAGTTTGATAAGAGTTAGATATTCGTAGTCTTACCCTAGCATGTAGAGATGTTTTTGTGGTTTTAACACCTAATGCCCAGGCATTCTAGATCTGCTCCAAGATTTCTTCAAGGCAAGCAATTTAATGTAGAGTATTTTATGAATATTCTATCAAGAGGTACCTAGGGTTTCCATGGACAACTTACTAAACAAAGATAGGAAACCAATTATCAGGATACATAAACATGGACCATTTATGCTATTGTTTTTCGTAGGTTCGAGCTAAACACAAGGAAGTTTGTCTTCAAAAAGATAGTCCCCTGGGAGAAACAATCCTTGTATGTTACAATTGTGGTTGTCGAAATGCTTTCCTTCTTGGATGCATCTCTGCCAAGACAAAGAGTGTTGTCGTTCTTTTGTGCAGAGAGCCTTATCTCAGTGTCAATGCATTGAAGGATATGAATTGGGACCTGAGTCAGTGGTGTTCCCTTATATATACCTTTTCCCCAAAGTTGCTAAACTTGTACACTTTGTTAAAGCTAAAAGTACACTTTATGTTGTAGGCAGAAAATGAGTTGCGTCTTGTACCTGGTGATGAGTTGCGGCTACGCTATTTAGGAGATGCAACTCATGCGGCAGTCAGTAAGGTATGCGGTAAGCACTTTTTTTGCAACTCATGCGGCAGTCAGTAGGGCATGTGGTAAGCACTTTTTTTTTAATATAAGTCATCTTTAGTTTTTGATTTTGTTTTAATTTCTCTTTAATTAATTTTTCCATTGAGAAGTTTTCATATAAAATGTTGTCCTCACCCCACCTCGCCTCACCATTTGCTGTCCAAACACCGCCTACTGGTGTTTCAGCCTCAGCTGCGAAGAACAAAGGGATGGATAATTACAAACAGGGGAAGTATGCTGATGCCATAAAGTGGCTTTCTTAGGCTGTGATTCTTCTTGAGAAGACTTGTGATGGTGCTAACCCTTGTAAGTTTATTTGTGATTGGAAGTCAACTTGTCTGTAACCCTTTTGAGTGAAGTGTGGTTTTGAATGGTACGAATGACAGACTTATGTCTCTGCTCTGCTCGTTAATGTTCTTCTTACCTTTAAGTGGAGAAGAAGTAGAATGATATTTTTTTTCTTTGATGATATTATTATAATGGACGCTTGATGTTTTCAATTAAGTAAACTTATTTATGTGCACATGTTTGTAAGTCTGACTATGTTATCCTTTGTTATATTTACCGTTTTGTCTTTTGAGCAATTAATCCAATGCCTATAATGCAAAATCATGATTTATAGACCATTCATGAAGCATTCAGTAAAACCTCTTCAACACGGCTTATAATGTTATTAGAGGATTCACATAACCAGCATCCAGTATATGTGATTTGAAGTCATATTGAGTGGATTTTCATATGGGCTGTGCTTGTATGTTTGTTAGGTAGACTGCTAATGTTTTTTGTCCCTATAACTCATGAACATGCATTCTGAAATTTATGGCAAAGAAGGGTTCATTGATTTGTGTAGAAAACCTATGTAATTGGGGTTTAAGGCTTGTGTTGGATGCCCACTACATGTATTAGTTTCTGAAACAATTAATGGGTCAGGAAATTTTTAAATCCTGCCCCTACTGTGTGCCTCTAGTCTTCGAATAAATTACTAAGTGATGATTTAAAAATGGTCTTTGATATTCAGTTTAATTAAGCAATCTTAATAAAATTTGAAGCTTAAACAGATTGACCAAAAACATACATTGGATTTGGCCCCCTTTTCATTTTTGGTTCATGAATAATACTCATGATGTTGGCTATGCTTTCATGTGTTATATCTATTCATGTATCTCCTTTTGATGGATATATTTAAAATTTGTTAATTGCTCTTTGGTAGCCTTCGATTGTACAATCATAATTTACCCAAATTCATACAAATTTTTATGCTAAAATTGCTTGTATGAAGTGTACTATTCTTTGGTCTAATTTTTCTCCACCATTGTGTTGTAGGATCAAATCAACTTGGCTGATGTCAAGTACCCACTGGAGCATTTTAAGGTAGGTTAAAACCTGTTCATTTATTTGATACACAAATAGAATTTTAAACAGAATGACATTTGGTTTCTTTTTGGGTATCAGGGAGCCCTTTGTTTAAAGGAGTTCCTCTTTTTGATTTGAGACAAAATAATAGAACATGTAATGCATATAATTTCTTGTTGTAAATGGGCTTAGCAAAAGGAGAGAGAAACAAAAGCAACTAAAGATTTGAGACAGAGAATAATAGAACATGTAATATTTCACTCATGTTCAATTATATATTTCAATTATATGCTGCAAAGGTTCATCTACAAGACGTTATTGTTTCTTGCAGAACATCCTTGTTGTCTCAAAGTATTACTGAAGGATTACCTTGGCGAGACTTGCTGAGCTGCTTTGTCTCATTGTTTAGGTATGCCAATACTTAATTGTGGTATAGTCATCATCAAATGTTTGTAATGTAATCATATAAAGTTTTTGCCATATGGTTAATTTTTTTTTATGAGAATACTTCATTTTGGATGTTTTTCTGGATTCTAACTTTTCTTATTTTATTTGTAGGTGACTTCCAAAAACGATCAATCACAAGGCTGATGCTTCAAAACCATATATATTCCTTCCTGTTTTAGAATTTTTTTTGGATTCTTTGTTAAGAGTGAACTTTATTACTTTGACACATTGCCGTCACTTGAATTTGTAAAAGACATGTTTGTCAATATGTAGAGTGAATTATAGTTTTTATGTCATAATATTTGGTTACATCTCATTTTTCAACTAGTTAAAGCTTTGGACTGCTGGAAACATATTTTTCAGAGAGATCTGTGTTCTCAAGCCCTTTGCATATACACAAGTCAAATTCACTTATTGGTTACAGTTAGAATGTAAAATGAAGGAATTTAGGGTTGGGATTTAGGAGGAAGAAGAAGAAGAATAAGAAGAAAGAGAAATTTTATATATATATTGGCGCTGTTTGGGAAGTTGGAGGATCCAACTGAGAACAGGAGGGGAGAGAACCATCAGAATCACAGGGTTCCAGAGTCAGCTACGAATGCCAATGCCGATGGGCATGCCAACACGAAGACAAATATGATGGATTTGAATATGCAGCCACATCAGATACATGAACAGGCTTCAAATAATCAGGTTAGATTGTCTCCGTTGTTTGTCTATCAGAAACAGATTTTGAATTTTGTTTTAATTTAAACTCTATTAACAGATCAGTGTCCCAGTGGAATGGTTACACTTTGCATTAGCATTTGAATGCACTTATTGTTCATATCAATTGGACCGCACTACTCCATTCAAATGTATAAATCATGGACAGGTTTAAAATGATATATCTGACAACTGAAGATATCAGAATAAGTTTTCTAAATGGATCAATTTGGTGTGTAAAACTAAACTAAGCCTGGTGTTCCAATCAAGTAGAGTCAGCTACATGAATCTTTTGTCACCGTCCTGCTCTGTCAAAGGCTATATCTTCAATTAAATTAATTAAACTTTTATCCTTTTTTTACTACCACATCCCATGTCATAATAGGTTATTCCCTTCCCTTAACATTTCCGTTTATGGTAATCATATTGCTCCTCTTTACCTTTGCATCTATAGGTATTTGTTGCATCTATGGTGTGTGTATATATAAATAGTGGTGGTTAGACTGAGAATCTCAAGTGTATTTGAATTGGATTAAAAATATTTGAAAAGGAAAATTAAAAAAAATAAAAATTTGAAGTAAATACAAGATATCAAGGACACTTGAAGCATATAATTTCTTGTTGTAAATGGGCTTAGCAAAAGGAGAGAGAAACAAAAGCAACTAAAGATTTGAGACAGATAGTGAACATGTAATCTTTCACTCATGTTCAATTATATATTTCAATTATATGCTGCAATGGTTCATCTACAAAACATTATTGTTTCTTGCAGAACATCCTTGTTGTCTCAAAGTATTACTGAAGGATTACCTTGGCGAGACTTGCTGAGCTGCTTTGTCTCATTGTTTAGGTATGCCAATACTTAATTGTGGTATAGTCATCATCAAATGTTTGTGATGTAATCATATAAATTTTTTGCCATATGGTTAATTTTTTTTTATGAGAATACTTCATTTTGGATGTTTTTCTAGATTCTAACTTTTCTTATTTTATTTGTAGGTGACTTCAAAAAACGATCAAGCACAAGGCTAATGCTTCAAAACCATATATATTCTTTCTTGTTTTAGAATTTTTTTTGGATTCCTTCATTGATTTTGCTTTTAATTTTTGTTCAATTACTTAATGGTTTTCAATGGATGGATGTTTAAAACTTGTCTCAATTAATGTTTTAAATGGAATGATTGTAAAGTTTGGGATTGAGCAGGAAAATATGATGAATTTTAATGTTATATTTAGGTTGGGTTGAATGAATTTTGTTCAATATTGGATTGAATGTTTATAAATAAAAATTGATTGTTCAAAAAAAAAAAAAAAAAGAGAGATTTGGCGACTAACTAATTAGTTATTGATTGTTTAATGTCTTTTGGTGACAAAATATTTGGTTGAGAAAAGTTTTGGCGACTAAATAACTGGTCGCCAAATTTTACACTTTTGCGACTAAATCATTGGTCGGCAATTCCTTATCTTTTGGCAACTAAATTATTAGTTGGTGATTCCTCAACTTTTAGCGACGAAAATAGTTGGTTGCCGATTTTTTTCTTTTGGCGACAAACATATTTAGTCGGGAAAATATTACTTTTCGCGACCAAAGTGTTTTAGCGACTAAATGAATTAGTCGCAGTAATGATATATTTAACGATAAAAAATTTAGTCGGCAAATCTAACTTTTTCCCGACTAACAAAAGTTTTGGTTGCCAATTATTTTTGCCGACTCTCAATTGGCGACCAAAGTGGGGACCAAAAAAATTGGTTGCAAATGACTTTTGCCGACCAAATTTTTAGTCGGCAAAAGTGTAATTTCTTGAATATTAATATTGCCGACCAATCTTTTGGTCGTGGAATGTATTTGCCAACCAAATTTTTTGGTCGCGGAATGTGACAATTGGCGACCAAATTAGTTGGTCGTGGAAATGGGTGACAATTGCCGACCAAACTATTTGGTTGTTGAATATGCGAATTGGCGACTAACATGTTTGGTCGGGAAAATGTGACTTTTCGCGACTAAAGTGTTTTAGCTACTAAATGGATTAGTCGCAGTAATTATATATTTAGCGACCAAAAATTCAGTCGGCAAATATAACTTTTTCGCGACTAAAAAATTTTTTAGTCGCTAATTACTTTCCGCGACCCTCAATTGGCGACCAAAGTGGCGACCATTGCACTTTTTAAGAAGATCTTAAAAAATTAAGTACTTGTAATCGTAGCTTTGTTTTAACAAAATAAAATTAACTCTATTAGTCAGAATTCCTGCATTCTAGAGTTTGATATCTTTCCTCCCTGAGCTATGGAGCAAGGATCCTCTCCTTCAATCATCTTCTTGGCTCCCGTAGGCCATGTGACCCATTTTTTAATCCAATTTCGATAATTTAAACCGTTCACATTTTAAAATTTGTCATGTGTATCATATCTGTAAAAAAGCAAGTCGATCGGATATCAAAAATCACGTGAACTAAAGATTTTATTAAACAATAAAACTGTTTATTAATTTTTTTTAATAAACGGTTTTTAATTCATTCAATATTCGATCAATTTGATTTTTTATAGATATGATATATATGACAAATTTTAAAATATGAACAGTTTGGATTATCAAAATTAAGTCTAAAAATAAATTCAATGACCCATCAAAATAAGAAGTTAAGGAGAGAATTCAAGGTGAGAATCCTTGCTCAGCCATGACCCCTACCAACGTCCAACTAGACCAACTTTAATATTCTTGTTGAATGAAGGCCAACAACTTGTAGAAGTGAAGGAAAACCCCACCCGTAACTTTCCTTTGACTTACAGATAAAGGGTAAGCCATGGTTTTGTATTTGTTTTTTCAATTCTTTTCGTATAGGTATTTTTGTAAAGAAAATTAGCCAAAAAACACAAGAAAATACACACCAACTAATCTAAAGAAACCGTAAATATAATAAATTACTTGAAACCATCTAGCAAACTATTTAATAATAAAATTAACTAATCAATTAAAATGCTCGATAAGTTACAAAAATCAATCTTTAACTCTAGGAATTAAATTAAAAGTTAATAGTCAAGAGTTATATACATAAAATTATTACCCAAGTTACAAAGCTTTACACCTCCTAAATAATTAAAATTCTAACCATGAGTTACATATGAATTTAATTCACAATAAACATGTAAATAAATATTGACAAGTTACAAAAATAAAATTTATAACTCCACAATTACAATTTTTAATTAGCAAAAGTTAAATATGAACTTATTACACATTAAACATGTACATACGTATAGACAATCAACATGTAAATAAATAGTTTTAGAAATTATAAAACAACTAACATGCAAATTACACTAAAAAATCAGAAAGCAATTAACATGCAAATTAGATTATAATAGAGGTCCAAAAAAAAAAAAACATTCTTATAAACTCGAAAAATTAAAAAGTAACATTTCAAATATTAATTCCAATCATGCATTCTCAGAAAAAAAAAGAAAAAAAAAAAATAGGTCATACAATTCTTTGAAACAGTTCCGGTTAAATATGAATTAATATTTTATATTCATCCACTAATAATAACAGCAACTACTATGCAATAATAGGCAATAAAGATGATAACAATGGCATTTAAATTATATGGATTTCATATTCCAATCATGGCTATCATTGAAGTTGTGGGCAAAAATTATATTATAAAATAAAAAGTCATACAAATCATGGTAGAAATTATGAATCAAACTCTTAAAATACATTGATTCTAAAACATTCTACTAGAGATCTAGAAATAAAAGTAGTCTAATTAATCTGAACAATAAAAACATAACATTACATTAATTTACATATGAGATAGAGGTAAATTAAATTGAATATCTAACAGAAAATTGAAACAGTGGGCTACAGGTGGTTCGGTTTCAATGGATGAGAAAGCAAACAGCAGCATGCAAATGATATTCAAGTTTCATGACATCCTCACAGAATACCATATAGCAACAACATGTATATACATACAAGAAAATGCATAATTGGCAACTAAAATAAGTATTTTCGTCGCTGAAAGTAGGACAAATGGCGACTAAAATCAGTTTAGTCGCCAAACTTGAGCACTTTTGCCGACTAAAGCACTTTAGTCGCCGAATATAGGGCTTTTAGCGACTAAAAGTCAGTTTAGTCGCCGAATATAGGAGTTTTAGCGACTGAAAAAATTTTAGTAGCTAAAAGGCACGGTTTTTGGCGACTAAAAGCATTTAGTAGCCAAAACTATAGGTTTTGGCGACTAAAAAATACTTTAGTCGCCGAATATAGGTGTTTTACCGACAAACAAATTTTTTGTAGCCAAAAGTAAAGGTTTTTGGCTACTAAAAAAAATTTAGTAGCTAAAAGTGGACAAATGGCGACTAAAACTGAGTTTAGTCGGCAAAGGTGGAGCTTTTGGCGACCAAAAATCAGTTTAGTCGCCGAAAGTTGTTTTTTTGGGCGGAAATTAATGTATTTAGCGACAAAACAGCATTTAGTAGCCAAAAAACATAGAATTGGCGACTAAAATTCATATTTAGTCGCCAAAAGTGCTCCCCTATTTTTTTTTTAGTAAATACTTTTTTTTTTCGTAAAATATATTAAATAAAAAATAATTATTTATATATATATATATATTGTTTTCTATTAATATCGGTCAATATATTATATAAATAATATATGTTGCGAAAATATTCATGTGAAGTTCTTGTGGCGTAGTGGGGAGAGTGTTGGTAAAGGTTAAAGTGGCTGGGACGTCAGTGGTTCGAAACCTGGGAGTAGCAATGGCTGAATTTTTTTTTTTCAGAAAAATGCTTTCAGCGACTAAACTGTTTCGTCGCCAAATGTGTTGTTTTGGGCGACTAATAAGTTTAGTCGGCGATTCATTAGGTTTTGGCGACTAAAATATTTGTCGCTAAATGGATAATTTGAATAAGTGGAATTGAGTATTGGCGACCAAAAGTTTTGTCGCTGAAGACCTGACTTTTTGCCGACTAAAACGTTTTTAGTCGCCAAAACCTTGGGC